TTTATGGAGTTTCTTTTGAGGCAGGCTTGGGGGTTTATTAAAGATATTTTAATACAGGCTTAAGCATAAGGATTAAGAAAAAGAGAGACACTCAGAAGAAAAAAACACAACCAAGAGCATAGGTGTGGGTTTCTTTAGGAAAAGGTGAATTTATATTTATATATTACAGAGAATTTTAATGTTCTGAAGTGGCCAGAGAGAAGGTTAAAATTTTAACTATTATTCAAAGAAAAGAAATGTTGATTATATTAATTTATAATGGATTTTTTTCTCCTATGGAAATCCTCTACTCATCGAATATCATCATTTCCATTTTATGAACTTTACATTACTCAATTTCACTATTCTCTTATCCAGACAGCAAAATTAAAACATCTTCCATTGTTATTTCTCTTTGAAATGAAGTTCTCTACAATTAAATAAATCCACAATATACATGGTGTGTAATCCTTTATTTGTAATGGATCTGAGTGTCAAGGACAAGAAGATAAATGACTGCCAGGGATTGTACAACAGTTGACCTCTGGTCCGTTGTGGCCAGGAACATCAGTATTGTTTTTGAGGAGGATTTGAAAACAGAAATAGTCTCTATGCAAAAGCCCACGTGCCACATCTAGCATGCATGCCCCAAGACATAATACTCTGATTGTTTGTGATGGTGGATGATGATGATGATGACAATGATCACGATGACGACAATAACGACAACGACCATGATGATGTTATGGTTTCAGTATGATAAGAAACATCATGGGCCCATTAAATCACCAAATTAATAGTATATAGAAGACTGATAATGTGATTGATTTGAAAAGAAAGCAAACCAGATTTGAAAACAGAATCCTTAGATAGTAATGCTAATTTTGTCACCAACTATCTTTATGGAAAATTTCTTCTCTTTTCGAATCTATATTCCATGCATAAAATAAGAGTGCAGAATTAGACCTGTAATTTGAAACTAAGACAACTCAGTGGAGTGCTAACATGGTAAAAATAGCAGAGAGAATGTTTATTCTACCAGTTCAGTCAAAGCAACTGTTTTATTGTTTTGAATAGTGAGCTAGTATGCTGTGTGTGTGTGTGCGCGCACACGTGTGTGTGTGTGTGTGTGTGTGTGTGTGTGTATGCATGCATGCATGCAAGTAAGAAAAGAGAAGTATTTGGTACTTGGTTTTTTGGATTTGTTAAGGGTGTAAAATCCAACTAGATTATCCACATGGAGATTTACATCTCTGATGTTCTAGAACTTAATATCTAACATTAGAAAGCAATTATCTTCCAAGGGCACATTATCAATATGTTGCTTATCTGTTCTTTAAAGGAAAAATGTTGCTGACACTGTTGTCATATATTTATGAAAGCCACCTAACTCCATCCTCCTGAGCCTTAAGTCCTAAAGCATTTCCTGAAGGAGGAATGCCAACCACTACTTGAGGAAAAAAGTACCTGCTGCCATACTTCTAATGAAAAGCCTACAAGACTATTCTACATTGATATGATTCACTAAAGTAGAATTGAATCCTTAAAGGAAAGGGAAATGAATACAGAAATCCCCAAGAGTCTGACCTTTTCCTTTAAGTTTTCAATTCTACTCAACGTCTATTTACTAGAAATGTGCCCAATTTACAATTACAGGGAAATTGAAGTTCAGCAAATCGCCTACCTGTGAGCCTCAGTAACTCAGATTACAAATGAGGCCGTTTATAGGTCACATGATAAACTGCCTTAATTCATTTGAGGAAGTAAAAACAAGAACTATATCACAATTTTGTAAGCTGCAAATTTCTCAACTTTAAATAGATATTGCAAAACAATTCAAGAACTTAGCTGCTCATAACAATGATTCAGTATTTTCAAAGTTGGCATCAGCTTATCTTGATTTGGTTCTCATCATTTTAGATACATTATTAGGTATACTCAATTAAAGGCTGTTACAAAAAAATTAATGTAGTGTTCCACATCTACAAATACTAAACTAAGACTTAATAATAAGAAAATTTAGGGGCTAGATATGTGACTCAGCGGATAAGAACTTGCCTACCTCGAAGAAGGCCCTTGCACCACACACACAAGAGCAGAAATACAGTTTTTACTAGCCCTTGAAGAGAATTGTACGGTTGCGTAGTTGGGGATCAAAAGCTTCAAATTACCTGTAGGCATTTTAAGGCAATATTATAACACTTTTAACATTATGATAACTTTTAACTATTATTCCTCTATTTTTTAACTTTCAAATGATTTTTCAGTTTTTATGGTTTTCACAGATGCATGGCTGATTGACTAATTTTCCATCAAAACGACAGTCATAAAAGTATTAAATCATCTTTGATTTAAGTTGCTGATTTCTTTCCTTCCTGTTTTCACTGAAGACAATTGTACACTTAGCTGCACAATTTCCCAGTTTATTCTACCATAGTAATTCTATCAAACCAGTCTTTTATTCTTTCTGCAAGCATATATTTTGTGCTCAAGATTAAGTAAAGCCCTTTCAGAGCTCTACAGTTTTTATCTGAAATCCAAAAATGGAGTACTAATCGAACATACATATATAGATATACATATATATCATCAATGTATTAGGAGTCATTCTTAACCTCCCATGACGGTGCTCCCCAGCTGCTGAGTCAATAGCGCTACCAGTTTTCATAGAAGTACGCATTAATCCTTTCAATGCTTGGAGGACTGAGACAGAAATTCATTATTTCATATGATTCAAAAGGTGTTTTAAAAGAGAAGATATGGTCATATATATATGTGGTGCCAAAAGCACAAAATAATATAAAAAATTACTATGTAAGTCCAAACTATGCAATATTAAAACCATGCATGATTATTTTATTCAAACACTGAAGTTAGTACTTATGAGGTTACAATAAAATAGCATACCAAATATTTGCATTACTTTTAAGTCATTTTAATCATAAGTGAATATCTGTATATAATAGGTATTTTGGAGGCTAGGGAGGTGGCTCAGAGGTTAAGAGCACTGGCTGTTCTTGCAGAAGACCTGGGTTCAAATCCCAGCACCCACATGGCAGATAACAACCATCCATAACTCTAGTTCCAGGGGATCCAACACTCTCTTTTGTCCTCTGTGGGCACTGCACAGTACGGATGCACTTACACACTTGCAGGCATAATACTCATACGCATAAAACAAAAATAAATAAATCGAACATTTTTTTAAAAAGTAAGTATTTTGAGGAAGTGGAGAAATAAGCATAGAAAAGAAAGGAAATTCAAACCTGAAAAACGATCAGTTTTAAATCTGATACCAGCTGAACACTGTTTTATGCACTACTATATAATCTGAACACTACACATATATCTGTTACATAAAATATTAATGAATATTGCTGTACCCAAGAAAACTATTCACACCAGGAATGCTGTCTAAAAACATTTTGTTCAATTTGAATTCTTTGATTTATTTTTATGTGTATTGAAGATTTGCCTGCATGTAAGTGCACCTGTGTTGTGTAGGGCCCACAGAAGCCAGAAGAGTGCATTGGATCCATCCTCTGAAAATGGAGCCAAGAATAGTTCTTAGCCACCATGTGGGTACTGAGAACCGAACCCAGGTCCTCCGAAAGAACAGGCAGTGTGCTTAACCACCATTAATTCAATTTTTAAAATGCCACCATTAGTATTAATATATTTTCATTTGGCTATCTTGCATTAAATCACAAATGGAACAATGTAACAGACAAGAGACATAGATTTTTTTGAGTATCTGCATGACATTAAGTCAATTTTTCACAAAACCTTGGCTCATTGCCTTTTCATAATTAAATATCTGAATGATGGAAATTGATTGAGGAGAAATGGCACATGATGAAGAGTATAGGAGTGATTAAAAAAATAAAAAATAAGATTTCAGGAAGCTAGTACAAATGAACTAAGGAAAGTGTGATTAAAATAACAAGCTGTGAAGGCACTGAGTTGGCTCGTTCTATAAAATTACCAAAGAGGGACTTGAGAGATGGCTCAGTGGTTAAGAGTTCTTACTGCTCTTGCAGAGGACCCAGATTCGATTCCCAGCACCCACATGGCAGCTAACAAAGGTTCATAACTCCAGTTCCAGTAGAATATGACACCCTTTCCTGACCTCCCCGGCATTGCAAGACACAGGTGCATGCACATATGTGCAGGCATAACACTCATACACATAAAAGTAATAAATAAAAATTTTAATTAATAAAGAACAAATAATTAATTAGAAGGTATTGTTAATTGAAACATCCTATTAATACATAATTCATTCAAAGGAATTCCATAATAGAAATCCATAGCACTTTATTTTGTAAGCAACAGTGCATAATAATCATTTTAAAATTTTAGGAGAAATGTGAGCTGTTAAGTGTGTGATCTTGTTTAGAAGTTGACAATAAACCACAGCATTCCATAAGGTGTATTATGTCAATTTAGCTTATATTTCAAAATTTCCACATCTGTTGACTTTTATTCTAAAGAAATATCATGACTGTAGATAACCTGAATAGTGTAAAACATTGCCAAGAGTCTCATATTAGATGCTGATTCGCTATGCACTGTGGTCACCTAACTTGTGTGTAAAATTTCTTCCTCTCATGCTTAAAAATAACCAAGCATAGCATAGTGATGTATAAAAGTTGATGCTTATATCAGCAGAGTTCAAAACATCAAGTTTTAACTTAAATGGAACTGGCAAATTCTCCTATTTTTCCTTAATCCTTCCCTCTAAATTTTTTTCGGGTATCAGATAAACTCTGTTCTTCATTAAAGCATTTTTATGTACTTTTATTGAGCTTTTGCACATTTCATACAACAGTTCTTGATCAAATTTAGAACCATCCCCCATCCATGCTCCCCATCCCCCACTGGACCACATGCATTCCACCATACATGTTAAGTCCAATCTGGTCAAACATTTTTTCTATAGGTTCTCACAATCTACATATGGAAATTATTTATGTACACCTATATGCCATATATATATAATATATAAAATTCCCCAGGCTATTCTGGTAGTCACTGTAAATGAATAAATAAGAGGAAGGATATTTAAACACTGCTCATATGTCTCTAAAGATTTCTGTGAAGAGGTAAGTGCACACCTGATATAACTTCTGGGGTCATTTTAATAGCTTACAGCAGTTTTGTACTCCTCTTACCATTTTTGTGGTAAAGCTTAGCGACAATGAGGTAGTGGATTTTGCATGTCAAGAACAGTTAGATAAATATGTACATACAGAACAGTCTAACTTGAATGTGGCAACTATTAAAGATATCAATGCAGTGCAATAAGAAAAGACGGACATAAATCTTATTTATTATCTCCTACAAGAACTGAGATGACCAAGGGCCAAATCATTTCTCAAAAAATTTATCACACCATGAAGGAAACTTAATGTGACATAATAAACTAGAGAACTGTGTTGTTATTGAAGCCTCTTAAGTCAATCCAGCCAACCTGTAGTTGATTCCCACTATAGATATGATGCAAGCTCCCTCCCTGAGTGGCTTGATATTTGTAAGTTAGGTGTGCTTAATTCAGTACTATTTCTGTGGGAAACATTATGAAGGTTACATCGTGCTAAAGAGTGTAGGAGGGCTTCTCGTGTTTTTGATGCCTCTATATTGTGCTCTTGAGAAATTTGAAGGCTAATCTGATTGACATTATTCATTAGCAGATTACACGTCATAAAGTTGGTTATAGAGAGGCATCTGGTGAGATTTTCTTCCAAAAATTGTTTGTAGAGTTCGTCCACCTTTTTTTCCATATAACTATTAAGCATAGAATTAGAAAGCGGCTGTTTATGTAATATCATACTCTTTTCTTGAATTTCATCCCCATTTAACAACTTTGATGTTTTCTCTAAAGAATCAACTTTAGGAGAATGACCCAAAGGTTTATCCACTGAAAATAAAAGGGGACCATTACAAAACTCATCATGGGTATGTTCCACAGAGCAGCCAGAATCATACATGTTCCCAACATGGTCACCTCCAATCTGCAGGTCAGGATAATTCTGGCAAATACTTGTACATGACCAGGATCGATATAAATCCAGTTGTTGTTCATCATGTTCCCTCCTTGGAATGGGCAATGCAATGGATACATTTCCTGGAAGAGGTGTACTTTTGCATTTTGCCACCAGTAGCTCATTCTCAGGGTTTTCTTGAGCTGCGTCATTACCTAGTTCAATTAAACTTCCTTTTATAACTTTCTCTTCATTTTCCTTCTTAAGCCGGGGAGGTGAGTTGTCATCTCTATCTAAAAGCTTCTTTTTCCACATTTCTTTTTCATCATTTAAAGTCTTCTTACACCTTAGTGGTTTGCAAAATTTTGCATGTTTCTGTTCTTTGTAAAGGAATTCAGTTAAGAATGCTTCTCCAAGCATTTTATTAGACAAGTTCTTCTAAGAACAAGAACGTAGGATAGCCCTACAACATAAGAGAACTCATTAAGGCAAGGCACATTAAAATATCAAATAATATTTTCTCCCTCCATTAAGCATATGTTTTAGGGGAAATCTGTTGCTTAAAAGGCAGAGAACAAGACCAGAAATAAAGATATTTTGGCTCTTGTTTACCACTATTTAACAATGAGTAATTTACTTATTTCTGACTCCCAATTTTCTCAACAATTAAATTTTAATAATGCTTCCCATAGCCTTTCCACAGTGTCATGACACTAATGCAAGTATTTAGAAAGTACAAACTCATGCAGATATATAACCCTCTATATTCACTTATCTTTTACTATTTATTTATAAATGACTAAAATGCCCATTCTTTTGCTACCAAAAAGTGTATTTAAAATGAAAACTTACCTGATGCAAATTTTCTGAATAAATCTGCAAAGATAGCCACCTATTTTTTCAATAATAAAGGTTTCTCAAATTTACTACTGGTTTTCATTTCCATTCTTTGTAAAATTCTTTCTCTTCTGAAATCAAACCTTCCTTTCCTAGGCGCTTATCTCATTCTTTTGCATAATTTGTTGCATGATTTATTAATGCAACTTTCAGAATTTCAATTTTGCCTATGAACTCTAAGAAAATCAGACATGATGGCTCACACCTAGTACTCACTCCCAGTACTCAGGAGGCTAAGACAACATGATCACAAATTCAAAGTCAGCCTGTGATACATAGCAAGATCTGTCTTACCAAATAAATAAATAAAATTAAGATAAACTCTTAGATGAATATGAAGGGTCAGTCAGCATTTATTCAAGATACAAGTTCTCATCTTATAGGTTTAGAGTACCCATTATATATCTCTCCAGGAAATCTACTTATGTCAATATTTGAAGGCATTTGGGAAGAAAACAAAACTATACTAACCAAACTAAGTAAGAATTTAGACTTACCTTTTCCAAATCTTAGGATACCCAAAGATTTGGTCTTCTGAGATTCCAACAGTCCAAACACAGAAAATGGCCTGTTTGTCTTGTTTGCTTGTGAGCTTCTGCTTACACCCCAGAAAGATAGCTTTAACCACGTAAATTGGTTCTCCTTTCCACTTATACCACAGGACTAAAAGACTAATAGGAAAATGATGTGGGCTGATCACGTGTGTTATGGTAATAACCATGAACCAAAAAGAGGACCTTGAAAGTATTTATTCAAGTTCCCAATGACAGTGAGAATGGGAAAATGTTAACAGTAATAGAGTTCTTCATGTGCATGAAGACAGAAACAAGGTTATTTTCACTTCTAAGTAGGAAAAGGGTACAATGATGTCAGCATCTTTTATAAAAATGAATAATTTGGAAGAAACCAAAGGAACTCAATATGAAAGCAGTTTAATAAATTGTGATATATCATGTCATGAAATACTAAACTGAGCATTTCTCTCTTAATATGTTTTTATTCTCTGAGAATTTCATGTAATACATTTTGATCATACTCACCTCCCCCTTTATCCCCTATCTTCTCCCAGATTCACCACCAACCTCTGCACCCCTCCCAATTTCGTGCCTCTTTTTATAATTATTTTAACCCCTGAGTCCAATTTGTGCTGATCATATACTTGTGGGTGTAGGGTCACCTACTGGAGGGAGCATGGTCAACCTATCCCACTCGTGGGCTCCTCCCCCCTCTGTGTTAAAATGTTGACTATCTTGTGCAGGTCTTGGGCACAAGCTGCTGTGAGTTAAAGAGTACGATAGTCTTGTCATATACAGAAGACACTGTTTTGCTCCAGTTCTCCCTAACCTCTGGCTCTTACAATCTCTTCAGCCCCTCTTCCAAGACGGTCCTTGACTAAATTGAGCTAATTTAATAATGTAATGACAATAAGCATGTGTTGAATAATTACTTCATGACAAGCATTCTTTTTGCTGTTGCCTAATCTATTGTTTAAAATAGGGGCTCACAATGTACTGCTGGCTGATCTAGAACTTACTGGCCTTGAATGTGTGGCAGTCCTCCTGCCTCTACATCCTGAGACCTGGAACTACATGGCAATCATTCAAAATGGCTGTAAAGATTATTTAATTTAAAGTACACATTATTACTCATTTCGCAGAGGAAACCAAAGCAGGAAAAGGTTAAATTATTTGTTGAAGGTCACAAAAACTAGGAAGTAATAGAAGTGGGATTAGCACCAGAGAACTGAATTCAGAGCCCATGTTACTAATCCAGAGCCCACTGCACCATACGTCCTGTGCATGCAGACAGCATACACATTGCAGAGGAGCATCTGCAGTATTATCCCATTGTGAATCCGGTCTTGTACCAAATGCTATTCAGAATATTTCACACCTACTCATTTAATCTTCATACTATTTCTTGCAACCAGATTTTTTTTTTTTTTGCCTATGAGAAAAGTGTGACACAGAGAAAAGTTAAGGAATGTGTCCAATTTCAGGCAAGTGTAAGGGGTAGTTTGGGTTTGAACTCAGGTAGCTTGGGACCAGACCTCGGATGCTTAAATTTCTTGGTGAACTAATTTTCTCTTTCGGTTACCTTTATATATGTAAACATGTTGATAGAAAAGGATAAAAATCAAATTGTTGAAAGTAGTTTCCTCTTAAGGGAATATGGCAAGAAATGGGTAAAAAGATAATTTTACTATTTACTTGTGTATTTCTATACCAATTGAATTCTTGGATAATGAGTGTGTACACGTTTTATTGGAATTACTGAAAGACTAAATAATTCACATATGCGAAAGGCCAACAACAAGACTTTCTTATCATCTTTAGAATATGTTTTACCAACTGTACAAATGTCTCTACCATTTTTGAATGATTTTTAAGTGTCATACAAACTGCCAAAGAAGATTGAGAAGCATAAAATTTTAACATAAATCATACTTGGGGCAGTAATTATTAATAGATATTTTATTGTATTTGATGGTTTTAAATAATTTTCACAAACGTACTAAAGATAAGTTGAATTTAATTTTGTATGTAATAGCGATCAAATCTCTTCAGGTTATCAAAGTTATCCTCCTGTAAATAGCTCACAGTGAAGAGATGGAATATATCTTACACTGAAGGGTAATGGAAGTAATAAGAAGATATATTCTAGCATTGGTACCACAAAGAAATATTAAAAGAAAATAAAATTTTCAAATCCTTCTTAACTTAGACTCCTTCAATGCTTATATTCCATCCTTTTTGCCTTCTTCATCCCTCTTTCCCACTGGTCTATGTTGTAACCAATGTCCTACACTTTGAAACGGACATTACACTTCCATACTTGGATTACAATAACTGTTTCCAAACTTGCCCCTTTGTGACACGTCTTATGTTAGGTGATTCATCTTTTATACAAATCCAAAATTTCCAAAGCTTTCTGCTTACCCATGAATTAATAAGAATAGATACAATTTATTGTGTGCCTCAAAGTAAGATACTCTTAGAAAAATTTTGCATTTAATCTTCACAGCAAAATTTCAAGTTATAATTGCCTGCACTTTTATACAACAGGAAAAAGCTTCGAAAAGATTTAAATCCAGTATGAAAGCAGAATGACTCTTGATTTCTCCTGTTTATCACAGCTTCCATCTTTTGTTTACTTAAGTGTCCCAAATATCCAATTACCATCTTATAGAGACAAAAAGTCAAAAACAAAATTGTCACATTTTAAACGCCCTCTAATCTATTTGGAGGTTAACACCAGACACTTATATAAATACTTGAAGCCGAATTCCACTGACCCATTGTAACTGAATCAAAATGGCCAGTCTCAAGAAACATAACCTACTCTGTAAAATTTACTGCTTGCCAAAATAGCAAGATGCCCACCTACCTATTCAAATATGTTACTTGTAATAATAGCCCATGAAATAAGAACACTTCCCTCTCAACTGCTATAACAGACTTCAACACCCTCTCAGCCTTGTGGTCTCTGCTGGGAACTCATGATCCTCATCCTTAGAGTGTATTTCAACAAATCCTCCCTTTTACTGTTTGTTCTCATCTCTGGTAAATAGCTTCAGTAAATATGTTTGCTGAATTCACATTACTGGGTCTTCCAGACAGTATCTCAAACACAGCATTCATGACAGTTCCTTCTATCTAAAGTTCATTATTCTCATACTTTCCCAGAACTATACCTCTCTCAAATTTCTTAAGCTCTATTATTCCTGCATGCCTTGCCTTGATTCATGTAGTATGGTTGGTTTTATCTATATTGTATTTACCACATCTTATGAAATATCACCCTGTGAGTTTCTTGGAGACAAATGCTTTGTCTTATTCATTGATGCAATGTCCAACAGTATGTAGAATCTAGCAGCTATCATCAATAATAATTACTTTCTGAGCAAGCTGTAATGAGTCACAAGCTTTTACATAATCAATTCATTTAATACTCATAGTAAGGATTTTGTCACCACCCACAATTTAACAGTAGAGATACTGATACTCAAGAAGGAAACAACCAAAATCTGTTCAATCATTCCCCACCCTCTCTCTTTCTCCTTCAACACTAGTTCTCATGCATCCCAAGATTGCCTCAAACTCCCTATGCATGACTCCCTAGCCTAGAAATTCTGATCGTCCTGCTTCTGTCTTCCTGAGTGCTGATAATACAGGAATGTACTACTTCCCCTGGCATATTCGGTGCCAGTCTTGAACCCTGGGCCTCAAGCATGCTAGACACAAAGTCTACCAACTAAGCTTCATCTCTTTCCTGTAAATCCATTCTTCTTATTCTTAGAGCCGTATAATACAAAAGTGCTTATTAAGTCCCTATTTCCCATTGCATACTCACTTTTGGTAAACTACTTGCATTATCAATATTTTACACTATTAAAAATAGTAACTAGATGTTAGAGAGATAGCTCCACATTAAGAGCCTGTACTGATGTTCCAAAGTAACAAAGTTTAGTTCCCTGTACTCACATGCACATAATCAGCACACACACACACACACACACACACACATACACACATACAAAATTAAAAATAAGGATTGCTGGGCTTACTGGCTGCCAGCCTACTTCCAGGTTCTATGAGGAATTCTGTGTCAAGGAAATAAGGTAGAGGAGCAGTATAGCAGGACACTGGATCTCTTCTGTTGGCCTCTGTGCACCTGCACACACATGTGGCACATACACCACTCATGCACACACACACACACACACACCCCACAGGTGGGACAGATTTGTGATACTGATGCTGTAGATGGACTGAAGAACTGTGATGGTAAAGGAAGTTATAATGGCCTCCACGTTCCCATGTGGGGGTCTGGATTCAAAGTTCAAAATAAAGAAAAATAAGGTAAAAAGGAAGTGCTGGAATGGGGAAGAGAGAGAAGAGGCAAGAGAAAGAGGAGGGAAGACTTGGGGACCTCTGTCATTTTGTTCCCTTGAGCAGTCCTTCCAAGGCTCTCTTCACAAAACCTCGGACAAAGACCACTCTCACTTCGGAACAAACTGTGACTTTCTCTTTGGCCAGACCTATGTCTTCACTGGACACATGGCCTGGGTCAAGCCCTTAGCTCTTTACCTCCATCTTCTCTTTTGTATAAAGAAGGCACTGGTCTGCTTCATGCTGAGCTGGTTGCTATGGGCTCTTCACATATGACTTCAGCATACCCACAGCTGAGAAGGATCCGGCAGCTATTTGATTGGGACTGAATGTTTGTCTCCTCATCCCTCCCTGAATTCTGTGCTGAAGCCCTCCCCTCAATTTGGCTGTACTTGGGGATGGGGCCTCTAAGGAGGTAATTAACCCTAAATGTGGTCCTTATGAGAAGAGATAACAGATATTACTCCCTCCCTTTCTCCCTCTCTCCCTCCTTCCCTTCTATCTTCCCTCTCTTGCTCCTTCCCTCCCTCTCTCCTTCCCTCTCCCTCCCATCCTCCCTCTCTCCCTTTCTCCTTAAGCTCACATTAAGGAAAGGCCACATGAGAACAGGTGGAGATCAGAGCGTTCAAGAAGAGACTGTCATCGGGTGCTGAACTGAACAAAAGTGAAATCTTGGGCCTCC